GAATCCCATTAAGCTACAACAACATTACAGGAACTATTTAATGTCATAAAAGTCTTCAGGGCTAAATGTTCATCTTGCCAAAACCCAGGAGCGTTAAGACACAGAGGCAATGGCTGCTCCCCCTGTTAACGCTCACTGCTTTAATCACAAACTTGGAGATGAAAAATGGCACCAACTCGATCCTCCCGCAGCCCCTTCCTGCCTGATTTATGGTGCTTTTCCTTTGCCAGCCTTTTGACTTCCCGATGGATGGGTGGAAGCAGCTGCACAGAGACCCAGCTGGGTGCAGAGCACTGCGATGCCAACACTTCCCTCCTCTGTGTCCCCAGGTAAAGCCACTGCAGGCCAGACTCTACACTGCATCCTTCAGGCCATGCCTGGGCTGAGGCTCTTGTTTTCTGCAGGGAGAAGTGACTGCTGGTTGCTGCGAGAGGATGGGGAAGAATGCGGAGGCATTTGTGTAACAAAGCACTATAAATCATCTCCAGTATCCATCACTCGCCAAGAGATGCTGTCAGCAGGTTCCAGAGTGAGGAAACGGGAAATATTCTCTTCATCAGTCGACTGGGAAATTCCTTTGTGGAAGGAGAAAGGCACTTTCTGCTTCCAAGGAGGCAGAAAGCCGTGTGCCAGGAGTGAGGGACCTCCATCAGGAGCAGTCCCTGGTGCTATGATCCCATATTCCAGCACAACCGCTCTTGTCACGCTGCTGGGTTAACTTTGCTGCCCCAGTGCTGCTCTGTCAATTACCCAGTGCTAATTGCCAACTCAGCACTGACACCAGATGACCAGCGAGGCCTTTGCAGGGTGCATGCAGTGCAGAAGCACAGGCTGCTCAGTTCAGCCCAGCCATGGATATGGTGATTAATGCCCCAACAGCCTGGTGTCATCTGGGCAATCCTGGTTTTGATTAGAGCACACGGAGGTTGGATCTCAGTGCCATGGAAGTCAGCTCAAAACTTCACCTGCTCTCCCAAACTGATCCTGTACCTGGATCGACCGGAGCTGAATTCACTCTTTCTCTGTTGCTTTGTGAGCACGGTGGCCTAAAGCCTCCCAGAGAAGCATTCCTCTCCAGTGCACACTGCAGGACACCCCAGGGCAAAGGATGACTGGCTTCGTTCCCTATCATTGATCCCAACCAGTAAAGGGAAAGCACAGTGCCTTCTGCCAGGGAGTTCTCACTCCATCTGCACCACAGCAAACAAGGCACAGCCTGTGCCAGCTAAGGGGGCATCAACACCCCCCCCCACACCCCCCCCCCCAGACACAGCCACACTGCACAGGGTGAACACTGCATTAGACCAGCTCATGATCTTTACATGAACCCCCTGCACCCACTTGTACGTGCTGGGCAACACAGAGCTTCCAACACACCAGGTTTGGCATGAAGTCCTAGCAGAGGAGGGAAGCCACCAGCCTGCTCTGCCTGGAGCTGCTGGCAGGGTGCCTGTGGACTGGGCTGCTGTGTGGGGGAGAGCCCAGGATGTATGCTTTCCCCCTTTCATTTGTTATCCCTGCAGACAGCCCCAGGGATTGGGCCGCAGCAGGTACAGGCATGTTATTAATAGGAGGGTACACCCCTGACCCCAAAACAGCCCCCATCCCACACAGGGGTGCTCAGGGGACTGCTGGGGCAGTGTAGGAGGTGAGATCATTGCTCCATACCCAAGACAGCACTGAAATAAACCCCCTTTAGATTACAAAGCAAATGTGGTGAGCAAGTTTATCCCACCACAAGCCCCATCAGGTCAGAGGTGCTTACCTGTAGCCATGGGTTCCCCTCTGAAGAGAGCCAGGTAAGGCCAGCATCTTTTGTGCCTTCATTTTACAGGTGTAATTACAGGACAACGCTTGTCAGGGGAACCTTTGCATATCTGCTCCCCACTCTCCTACTGCATCATCATCACTAATATGCACATAACAGTCAATTAGCCCAGCTGAGTGCACTCATGACCTCTGATCCCTGCTGTGTCCCCCAATCCATTAACAGACCCTCATCCTTTAGCTCTCAGTATGAATTGATGTAGCATCCATTCTCTTTCGGCAAAGAAACATGCTTCCTCATTCATCTGTCCATTTCCACTTTCTGTTCCTTTGTCCTTCCCTTCTGTTCCCTGTGTTGCTAACCTGGTCACAACTTCTTGACCCCGCGTCCTCGTCCTTCCCAAGGGTGTTGTAATCCCAACAGCTCCCAAAAAACTTTTACTTTCTTTCCCTTTACCCACATCTTATTTAGCAAAACTGGTTTCCAGCAGTGGGGGAGCTTTGATCCCCTCTGCAAGAAAGCCTGGCACTGCTTTTTTAAAGGCTTTCTTTCTAAGGCAAATGAATTCTTCATAAAGGGGGAAACACTGCGCTGGCTGGTCTCTGTTCAGCTGAGGAAGACAAATGATCTGGTTTATTACTTGAAAAGCATAACAGTTGAGTGTGTAGATTTGTGATTTATCTGCAATTAAGAACCCATTTGAGCAGCGTATTCATTACAGAGAGGACAATTAATTCTGCTGAATATTAAAGTAAACTCAAAGTTCCTTGAATCACAAGATAACGTGGGATGTCTGAGGTCCAGGTTTTGTGTGGCTCTGTATTACACACACCCTGGGGTGGGATGACTGCTGCAGTGGGTGTGCTGGGCTGCCTGCAGCCGGAGAGGCAGCCCTGGGTGATGGGATAGCAAGGCTCCCTAAGACCTTTGCAGGCTGGTGAACCCCCAGGTCTCTTGGTTGTTATGGGGAAGGTAGTGCAGGGATTGTGGAGGACTGCACCCAGAGCTACAGGAGAGACTGGGGATGGACTGAAGCAGGAAGAGTGGGGTTTTCTCTACCTGCTGAGAGCATTTTAAGGTGTTTAGCAGCACTGAGTCAGGTGAGGAAAGGACACTGTCACAGTGCTATTCTCTGCTGCTGCTGCTGCTCTTTATGACTTAACATCTCTTACCCCCATCAATCCTTCCCACACTTCACGGGCTTTTGAAGACCTGCAAACACACCGTGGGATCAATGCATGCTGCCCAAAGCTGCCTCCTGCCTGGCACAGGGACTCCTCCAGCTCCGGATCCCTGCTCCCATGGCCAGACCGCAGCGGGGAGCTGGCAACGCCTGCCAACAGCCCGGCCTCCCAGCACAAGCCCTTGCTGCATTCCTCTCTGTGTACTCCTCAAACTTCACCACCAGCCCAACCAAATCCTCTCAAAGGCTTCAAAGGGAGGAGCGTGTTTGCTGTCTGCAGGGGACTGACAATGCTTTCCCTTTTGACCCATCGCTGGGATCACTGGGTGATGGGGAGCGGGGTGCAGGCTGCACTGGGCAGGGGAGCACAGCCCCACATTGCTGCTCTGCTGCTTTTCCAGCTGAAATTTCCAGCAGATCTGTCCATCTGGCTGGACTGGCAGAACGAGTCTGGAAAGCAGCAGCCTTTGGAGCCGGTGCTGTTGTGCAACTGCATGTTCCGGCTACCCGCGCGCCAAACGGCATTTCTAAAGTGGCTGGAATAGCTCGTCTGTATTTTGGTATCCCTGGAGATATCCCTGTTGCCTTCATGGCCAGCAGGACGTCTGCTCCTCCATGGGAATGGCCTGGGACTTGTTAGCAATCCACATGATGCTGGCTGATGTGAGCTGGAATGGCTGCAGCAGGGTTAGAGCCTGGCCAGCACTGGGGATGGTGGCTGAGCCCCAGCACTGCTCCAGCAGCAAGGCCTGCACCACACTCCAAAGGATGGGGAGCCCAGCACCAAGGCATCCCAGCCCTCCAGGATCAGTGGCACGCAGGGTTTGAGCCTGGGTAGGGCTTCCCTGGCCCCGTTCCTTCCCACAATTACAAGGTGATAAGCACCAAGGAACAACCCCATGCTGAGGGCTCATGCTCACAGTCTCATAAAGCCCTATGGTGGCTGTGGGGCAGGCAGTGAGGGTGGCACTAACCTGAAGAGTGACCAGTAAAGCCTCTTGGCAGGCTGTGGATCCTCATGTGCAAGGAATTCCCTTGTGAACAGCTCTGCACTATAAAGCAATCACTCAGCCCTGTAAAACTCTATCTGTCATAAATGAACTTTGCTGTTGTCCTGATCGCTTCTTTGCTCCATAACAACTGCATCATGGCCAAACACAACGTGCCCAGCAGCGACAGGAGGAAAAGAAAGCTCTTCCAGGAGCCTCATTGACATTACAGTGTACTTTCCAACAGCTTGATGAGGCAGTGAGGGTGTCTACAGGAGCAAACACCACACCCAGTGCTTCTGCAGGCAAGGTAAGGTCTGCACAGGGACAGGCTCATTCCCATCGCTGTGCCAGCTGCTGCAGAGGCTGCTCAGGGAGCAGTTTGGATGGAATTTCCCTGGGAAGAAAGGTTTCCTCAGCCAGAGGTTAAATCTAGATCAGGGAGAGCTTACTCTGAATGAAGGCATTGATACGTATAGCATCCACAGCATCCTTTAGCAACCCATCATGCATTCTACCTTCCCCTCTCCTGCTCCCAGTGGAGGGTGACAGCACATAAGGAGCTACTGATGCGCTCTGAGTCACTCAGAGGTGTTAGCTCCTTGCAATCAAAGATCTTCTAAAGCTTTACAGCAACCACAGCACAGCCTCCCACCTCCCCTCCTGCTTTACTGACCCACGGCCTCAGCATCCACAGCAATGGGGTCTGGCTTTGTCTGGCCCTCAGCTCCTAATTGGTTTGCTTAACACTCAGCTGCTAAAGTTAGCAGAGGATGAGGAATAAACTGTGCTGGGCTAAAGGCAAACTCATTAGAGCATCATTAGGAGGGTAGGGGTGTCCCCATCTCTTAGAGCCTCCTGCTAGTTTTGGCTGGTACATGGGGCTTCATATGAAACACACAAACCACAGCACTCACCATGTTCAGGCAGGTAGAAACCTAGATCAGCATTGCAAGGGACAGCAGAAGGGACATGTCCCTGCCATCAGCCAGCATCCCACCTCCTGCCAAACCACAGCAGATGATGGCTGTGGGATTCACACACCACACAGCAGCAGTGATTCAGAAGAAATGGTGTTTAATTATGGTATACATTAAATTAAATGTCATTCTGAGTATTGGTCTCCAATGCATGACGACTTATTTACAGCAGGGCAACTCCTATCAGTCCCAGCAAGAGTTAGAGTCCCACTGCACTCGACATTGTACAGACACAGAGCAAAAGAGCTTTTCTTGCCCCAAAGAAAGCATCCCGTGTATTTCCTTTTAGCAGTGGTCATCCATGCATGGGCACCTCTCGAAAGCACTCTCAGTAGTTGGCACATGCTCAGGAGTTAACAAAAGGCTTGTAAAACTGGGCAGCATTTGATCCATTTACAAGGGGGAGCAGGGATGGAGGAGCTTGTGTCTCGCAGGAGAGGAGATGGCACCTTCTACAGCTACTGCAGCACTGTGTTTATTGATAAGAGTGGACCAACAAGGCTCACCATCAAGCTGCTAATGGTGGAAAACAGCCACCTGTACTGGCCATTACTGGGCAGGAACTGGGCACCTTCTGCACCCCAAGAAAAGGAGTCTCTGGACTGCACTTGAGGAAGACCCCACCAAAATTCCTTGCAGCCCCATTCACCTCTGCAGCAGCAAATGCTACAGGCTCACCTGAAAGCTGCGATGCTGAACACTTCCCAATAGCCTGATGTGCTGACCAGGCTGCTGAGCGCTTCTGCACCCCATCATTGACCTGAGAGTCCCCAAAGGCAGGAGAGTCCCTTGAGATCTCCACAGTGGCAGTTTGCCCCCTGCAGATGGGTCCAGGTCCTGCTTGGGGCTCCGCTCATCTCGCCCTGTATCTTTCCTTCACCTGGGATGTCACCATGCAGAGGACACACTTCTGCCTGTCCTCCCACAGAGACCAGTGTGGCTTTGAATTAACTCATTTAACGGAAGAAGAGAAATATAACACCAAAACCACCCTCAGCTCTGACCTTTACAAAAAACAACAACAAAAACAGGATAAAGAGAAGAGATTTGGGAACAATATATACAGATGGCAGAATTGCACTTAATTACAGTAGTTTACATCCATTGGACAAAATTTACTTCTTTTTATATAAATCTCTATGTATAGGAGCGGGGAAGGGTGAGGACGGAGCAGACTGTACCTATATTTACAGTTCCATTGGCTCAGTTCAACAGCACATGCGATTCCTCCTTCCAAACGCCAAGTAACAGACCCAAGTCCCTCTCAGTCTGTCGGGTGGAGGAGTATAACTTAAATACCATCCATCTTCCCCTTCTGCCAGTTCCCAGCACAGCTCGGTCCAGTTCCTCGGGAGAGCCAGCGGCCGTGTGGAGGACAAATACTTCAGGAAGAAATCCCCAAGACACAGCTTGGAAATACTGCACGGAGAGAAGGAGAGGTCCCGGGTGGGCACCCGTGGATCCGGGCCCGTTCCCATGGGGAATCTCGAGGCTCCGGGTTGCTGGGCTCCTCGCTGCGGCGCTGGGCTTTGCTCTGGCGACTCCCCGGGCTCGGCACACGGATCACCTCCGGGGTGTTGTGGAAAATAAGATCCCGTTGCTATGTGCGGAAGCAGCGAGGTGTGGAGCATCACCAGGCTTGCAGGGGACACTGCGGAGGGGAGAGCAGCGCAGTGAGCGGCAGGAGGGAGGGCAGGCATGGCAAAGCGTTGGGAGGCATCACCTCCTGCATCGCCCCCAGACCTCGGTGGTGCCACGTGAGCTGTGCTTGGCCCCGAGTGGGAACACGCTTTCTAAGCCAGGTATTGCCACCCTCTTCCCAGATTGTAATAGAGCCATAGAATCCCAGCCTGGTTGGGGTTGGAAGGGACCTTAAAGCTCATTCAGCCCCAACCCCTGCCATAGGCAGGGACCCCTTCCACTGAAGCAGCTTGCTCCAAGCCTCTGTGTCCAACCTGGCCTTGAGCACTGCCAGGGATGGGGCAGCCACAGCTTCTCTGTGCATCAGCACCCTCACAGGGAAGAGCTTCTTAAGATCCCATCTCCCTCTCCTTTAACCTTTCTGGCAGGTTAAAGCCATTACACTAGATGGGGAAGGATCTGCTCCACCACCGCATCCATCCTGCAGGCCTGGGTTCCCCACCCGGGGTCCCCCCCCAGTGCCCGGTGTGGGGCCAGGAGTGACCTTGTGGGCTGGATCTCACAGCAAACACGGTAAGGTGGAGATAAGGAGACGCCAGGAGCCTCCCATGACATGTCATTAGGGCCGGGCTGCGGCTATCGGGTATTTGCTAACACCATAAAAATGGTGGCTTGGCCTCAAGCGTTGTCAAAGGAACCGGGAGGTATTTGCCCCTTCCAGGTCTAAATAACAACATCTGATAAGTGAACCGCAGCATTGGGCTGAGAGGGGAGAGCTGGGGGGGCAACTCCAACCTCCATCCCCACCGGCAGGACCGGGAGCATCCCGGCTCCATCCAACATGGAGCTCATGGGGTGCACAAGCCCCCACATTGGGGGTTTATGTGGGCTGTGCACCCTCTGGGTTTATCCATGTGCTCCCCAGCAAACTGCACTGGAAAACTGGGGATCCAAGTGACCTTCCCACCCTTTCTGCCCACCTCGGAAGATCCCATTGCTGCCGGGTATCCTCTTGCCTGCCTTTTGCCAAGGCAAAGCATGAAGGAGTCCTGTTAGCCCCATCCATGGACAGAAACCCAAATCACCGAGGGTATTTAGGCATTTGAGCCATCTGGTTGGGGGTGAGCAGCACGTATGGGTCCCCAGGCTCCCTCTTAGCACTTCATTCACCTCTTGCTAATGAAGCCCCTGAGAAAAAGGATCGATATTCAAAGAGGAATTTCTCCAGCTTCAGCTTGAATGGTTGGCAGGAAAAGAGACCCCAGGGGCTGCGGGGGAACAAGAGCCTGATCCTGCCCTGGTGCTTGCAGTGCTTGTTCACCACGTACAAGGGGGCTAACGGGGTGGGTGCATCCGTTTGCTGTAGAATGGTCCCCATGGGTCCTGGGGACCTGACCCCATCTCCCCCCTCCTGAGCCATGGGACCTCATCCTGCTTTAGCCAAAGTGATGGGGGGGATGAGTGCAGCAGCAGGGATGCAGCACACATTTCCTGTGTGCCCAGGGCTCCGTGCGGCCAGCCCCGCATCAAAGGCAGCCCCCGTGGTGGGGGAGCTCAGTTAATCAGGGGCAGTTCGGGCTGGGTGAGCACCAGATGGGCTGATAAAGCAGCACGGAGGAAATGGTGCTCCCGAGGCCTGACCGCCTCCTGCACACCCATGGTCACCCCGCAGCACTACAAAGCACCGGAGCCCGACCCGAGCCGGGGGCAATGGTGTTCATCATCATCCCGAGCAGCCCCGCTCCCAACCTGCCACCTCAGCCCCATCCTTCACCCCTGCCCCATCCATCCCCGGCGCTGTCTCGCAGCAGTCCCATGGTGTATTTACTCTGGGCTCATTGCAGGCATTTTTTCCCTCTCCCCTTGTCAAACCTCCGTAAGGAAGTTTATCTGGATGCAAGTTCAAGGCTCTCTCTTATTTATCTAGCGATCAATAAGGGCCACATATTTCCCACAGTCCCCAGAGGTGGCTTTCAGAAAGGGACCATTGTCTGAGTAAGGCCTCACACACCCGATGCGAACCAGGATAAGTCCAGCCTTACACCTGCGCTGCCACTGGGATGATGATAAAGGTTGATGGGAAGTTGGGGTGCATCAGAGCCTGGCTCTTCCACTCGACTCCAAGCAGGGCTGATTCACCCTGGCCACCAAGGCAGCAAAACCTGCTTGGTCCTTACCTTCTCAGCCCAGTTTGTACCCCAGTAGGATGCTCCTACTCTGATGAGGCTGCCCCCAGGGATGCGCATGGCCCAGACAAGTCCTCATCATCCAGCACAGCTGGTCCATCACCCAAATGCCCATTACCCCATCCACAAGTAGGGTTTTGGAGCCCGTGAAGGGGCTGGGATGGGGTTCTCAGTGCTGGAGGTCTCAATCTCAGCTACACCCTCCTCCAGCCCCAATTCCAGGGGAGGAACACCCCTGCTCCACCTCTGCACACCCACCCTGTGCACCCTCATATCTCCATCTGCAGGGCCATTACCTGCTTACTGGAAGACATATTGGTGAGCGTGCTGATGCTGCTGGTATCCGTCACCACCATCGCTGAGGGGAAGCGGGAAGTGTGGGAATACTGGGGAGGCTCCTGTTTGTGTGTATACACTGCGGAGAGGAGGGAGACAAGCAGCCGTCATGGGAAAGGGCAGAGCAGCCGAGTGCTGCAGTGCAGGTCACAGGGATGCTGCATGGTGATGAGCATCGTGGAGACATGGATGAGATACAGCAAGGCACGGAATGAAATCAGCCTCTAAGCCACCTCTCTCTCAGGTAGCAGCTCGCCCTGAGTGGGTACTGAAGGGCTGTGGCCGGACCAGACAGTGGAGATCCACAACCCCACTGCAGCAGAGCCCCATGGCGTGATGGGGCAAAGCCAGATCCCTTCAGGGCACAGCAGGGAAGCGTTGCTGCGCAGGGAGCACAAAGCCACCTCTGCCAAAGCAGGTGATTTAAGAACATGGAAGGGAAAAAACAGGGAAGTTTGTACAGGATGTGTAAGGGGAGGCTGCATCCCACCCACGGGGCAGCAGCAGAGTGCTCTGGGAGATGTGCTACAGCCGATGGCACAGGGGAAGGAGAGGATGAGGTGGGATGTGGCCATACAGCAGCACCATGCATCCCGCTCACACTGGTACCCAGGAGAGAGGCGGCAGCCAAAGGTGTGAGCAGGAGGAGAGCGCAGCCTATCCTTATCCTCCACCTGAGCTCGTCCTCAGCGCCCTCCCCTTGGCAGGGCCCACCCGGCCCCTTCCTTACTGTGCGAGTTCTGCAGCTGGGTCACGGTGGCCATGAAGGGCTGCTGGGACATGTGGCTGGGCGACTGCTGCATGAGCGGCTGCTGGTGCGGGCTGTGGAGCTGCTGCGGGAACTGGACGGGCTGCAGGGCTGCCAGGCTGCCCGCGACGCTGTTGATGACGGGAACGCTCTGCGCCTGCGAGGTGTTGAGACCTGGGAGGGAGCGGAGCGGAGCGGGGATGTGACAGCGAGCGGGCAGCGGGGCCCCCTTCCCGCTGGGGGACAACGGGGTCCACGGAGAGGAGCACTTACTCTGTGCGATGGCCATGACCCCCGAGAGCGGTGCCATGATGAGGTTCTGGGACTGCTGCGGGTTGTGGTGCGACAAGCTGTGGATGTTGGTCAGGGTGCTCACCGGGGGCAGCCCGCCCCCCGACACCGAGATCTGCCAAGGAGCCAGCAGGACACACATCAGAGACACAGCTGGGGGCTGCTCCCATCCTCACCCCGCTTCACTGGGGAGATGGGGGGGATCTACAGCCCCAGCTGCAGCACACAGCTCCCACCACCGCGGGGCACAGAACCCAGCCTGGGTGCACAATGGTGATGTTAATAAATGGCAAAGCAGCGGCGGTGAAGGGTTTTGCTGGCACCAGCTTCCATCTCCAGCAGAGCATGGTGCCAGGACATGGCACATCCTAACCCTTGGCCATTCTGTCCCCCTAGCCCAAGCTCCTGCCCTGGGGGACAGCTGAGGACTCTCAACACTCATTAACCATCACGGTTAGGGGGGGAAAGTGGGAAATATGAACTCAGAAAGGTAAAGAAAAAAGGCAGAAATCAGATGGTGATGATCTTCATCCCTCCTTTTGCAGATGGGCAGGATACTGGTGAGATGAGGCAGGCACGCTCACCCAGAGCCAGCTCCTGGGATTTCAGGTCAGGGCTTAAGGATCAAACACACAAGGGCCCTTGGAGCGTGCTGAGCAGAATGGAGCTGGTCCCCAGGGCACACAGGAGGTTAAGAGCCTTATTTCTTTCATTGCTGCCCATTCCCCAATCCCCCTCCTCGGCCCCCTTGCACTGAGCAGCCCCGCTCCCCATTCAGAGCCATCCCTGCGGCTCTCGGTGCGACACCTCCGGACACGGGGTTTGTTGTGCCCATGTGAGCTGGCGATGGCCCCGCTGCCACTGAAACAAACCCATCCATAAATCCCAAGGCCTGGGAGGGACTCGTGCTTCCTGATCCGGTATTTTCCACCTCCGGAGTCTCCTCAAGGCCGGGTTACAACACACCCGGCTGCACAAGTCAAACAGCTCACGGGGAGCGCACGCTGCGCACCCGCGGCCCTGCCTCCTTGCATGGGTGTTTAGATCCAAAGCACTGCATCCACCCACAGTCACCTCTGGAGGTGGCACGAGTGGAAAAGACCCTCCAGGCACTGAAGCACTGAGGAAACCCTTTGCACTACCAGGACTAAGGGCAATGCTGAAGCCTTGTGCAGCCTCAGTGACTCTCCTCCTGACTGCCTTCAGAGGCAGCAACTTCCTCGCCAGCCCCGGGTTCCACGTGGGGTACCAGAGGCACACTTTACCCACTGGAAAGCACAGCCTACAGCGTGTTCTATTCAACCCCTTGCAAGCACCAGCTAGCCCTGCTTCCAGATCACAGATAAGCTGGCAGAGCCGCACGCTGCCGAGGACCCGAGCGGTCCCTGACGGCGCTGTGCAGGGTCCATGAAGTAGGAATAACTCAGCAGGGCTCTTGCAGCCACACTCCAGTGCCCAAGCTGCTCTTCCCAGTTTAACCCGCTCTATTCCCATGCTGCCGTGCCCCACGCCACAGCCCTGGCACCCGGTGCCTGCCGCTGCCGCCTCCACTCCTGACTCATTTTATGGCTTCAAGGCTCAGGGTTATAGGGCTCAACACACCCTGGAGGAGATATGGGTGTGCTTGGGGTGGAGGGAGAGTGCTGGGAGGGCTGGGATTGTGCTTGGGGATGTCCCCCCTGCTCCATGGGGATGCTCGGCTTTGCAGGGTCAGCACATGGGGGGCTGCAAAGAGACCCCCGCTAGCCAAAGAGCATGGAAGGAAAGGCAATGCTGAATGGTGCCATAGCTGAGGGAGGGACAGTGAGGGTCCCCCCCAGCCACCCAGCTTTGTAAGGAGATGGATGTGAAAGCCAAGCCTTTGAAAATGGAAGTGAAAACCCCAAGGAGCACGCTTGGCCCCGCCGCGCTGAGCCATGTTTGACTTTCGCTTTCAGCAGGGAACAGTCCTCCTCCCGGAAGAGCAGCGGCTCCACGTGAACCTCCACCGGCCTGCAACTGCATCTCCCATCCCATCCCAACCCTGCATCTCCTCCTTGCCCCACTCCATCACACACCCCTCCAAAGGGCTTTGCACCAGGCAGGCACCCACGGAAAGGAGCAGCCCAAGCGCTTGGGCACTGAAGCCCAGCCCAACCCTGCATTTACAACCGCTTCTCTGCAGTAGCATCTGCAGCTCTGCCCAGCAAAGCCCTTGCTAGAGCCTTGAGCCCCTGGGGAAGGGGATGGGGAGAAGCAGGAGCTCCAGTGCTGGAGCTGGGTTAGTGATTCCTCGGGATGAGATCCCTGCTTCCCCACCAGAACCCCACACTCGGGAGGGCTCAGGGACCCACACCTGCAGGTGCGTTCCATCGACACCCGTGTCACCGGCAGCCGAAAACAAACAGCGCTCCTCCCATCCACCAGGCATGCGATCAATAAACCCCGGAGCGGGGCTCCTTCCCTCTGGGAAGCATGGAAAACACACGGCACCCCACAATGCGCCATTGTTCGCTATGGGCCGCGTGTGAAAGCCGGTTGGGGGGGGGGGGAAGCGTGTTTGCTCTGCCCGCCAAGCCCTCTTATCTTATCGGCGCCGCCGCCACGCCAGCCCGGGTGTACTCACCATTTTACCGTCGGGAGAGAGCAAACCATGGCCTGGGTCCAGGCCGGCCGGGGAGACCTGCGGCAGCACAGCCTGGCTCGTGGGGACCATGGCACCGCTGCCGTGGTGGCCGATGGAGCCGGAGGATGCTGCCTCGCCGCTCGCCGCCTGGCTGTACCGGACCCCTGTAAAACAGCAGCAGGATGGGGGTCACCCCGCGGGGAGCACGGGGGGGCAATGCCTTGTGCCTCTAAAGGGGAATGGCTCCAGCGCTCCCCTGGCTCCTTTGGCACAGGGATGCGAATGGATGTGCAAGCTCCTAAATGGCACCTTTGAATGGTAAATGGAAGGGATAGCGTGGAGCAATGTGCCTGTTCCTTTGGGTGCTGCTTCCCAGCTTCTCCCCACCCCATCTTCTGAAAAGATAGTGGGAAGTTTATAGAGAGGGATGCTGAGCGCCCAACCCAGGCTGCCCATGGGTATCAATGCCTCAGGAAGGGAGCACAACACAGGCCAGCAGCCTGGACATCCTTCTGCATCCCTCGTGCTCTCGTTTGCATCCATCATGCCCGCAGCTCTCAGACACCAGCCTGGGGGTCCTGAGCTGCAGGGACCAGCTCTGCATCCTCCAGCTCTTCCCTCCCAGCTCACACAGCCCATGGCCACCCCAGCTCTGAGCAGCACCGCTCTCACTTCTTCCCCAGGCCCTTCCACATCCGATTTCCCTCTTGACAAGTGTATGATTAACAGAGTGCTGCAGGGGCACAGAGGGACCAGACACACACAACCCTCCAAACCAGACCTCAGCCCACCATCACCAGGAGGGAAACCTGGCTCGAGCACAGCTCTTCCATATGAATCTATTTAATTTGGCTAAGCCCCCCGTGCTGATAAGCGGATCATCAGCCATGTGTCATGGAAAGGCATCCACAGATCACCAATAATTAACCCAGGAAAACCCACGGGAAACAAAAGCGTCTTTTACGAGGCTGCCTTGACGGCTACGGCGAAAAGCCATTTGTTATGGGTTCACTGAACTGCCCTGGGATCGGAGCAGTGCATGGATGCAGGGATGGACAGCCCAGAGCTCTCCTGGGAAGGAGAACCACGGAGGCAAAGTCCACCTTCCCAACCGGCACCAGCAAGAGCATAGTCCACAGGGACCCCCAAAATCACCATTGGATGGAATTGTTCAGCCTGTGGAGGTTTCTGGTGGCTTCTCATCTGTTCCAGCATAGACATCCCCTTCCAGGTGAAGGGTTATCCTACTGGGATATCAGATGCCTGAAGGAGGAGGTGATACAGGCTGGCTCAGCAAAGGATGCTCTAAGTGCTACACGAAACCTCTCTGAATCAAGGGAAACAGTGAGTGGGGTCCAGGAGCTTTCCACGAGCTCCATCAGCATCTAGCAAAGCGCAGGCAGCTCCCTGAGCCCTCCACCGAGAATCACAGCAACGAGCCTCGTTAATCACCCCCAAAGGTGCCCCCATCAGCTGGTTAAACACGTCCCGCAGATAGGGATCTCCGGCGATGGCTGGCTCCTGAGCATTTCCCAGCAAACCCCTTTTATCCCTGATAATAGAGGAATGTCCTCTGGCAGGTGGGTGTTTGCGGGCCCGAGTGGACGTCCCTGCCATGAACAGGGTAAACATTACTCAACCGGGGCACTGTCACACGCATTCTTCCCGGCCCCGTGCAGTGCGCTCCAGCCGCTGCCGCCCCGAGATCCTGCGGCGCTGCTCAAACAATGGCAGGGGAGATAAAACAGAGCCCTTTCTTCTGAGCATGATCTTAAAGATAGACCGGGAGCGCAGGCAGCTCCCATGGGGAGGAAACCCAGGGCTTCTGCTCCATCCTCCCTCGAGTTCGGGTTCAGCAAAACCGAAAGGAGTCCTATTTCCACCCAAAACCGTGCCACGTCCAACTGAGGATGCTTCAGCAGGACAGCCCAAGCCAGGAAGTTGTCTCTCAAACATATGAGAGGCTAAAAGCCGATTGTCAAGCTTTCCCTCGCCATCCCAAGGACGAGACTTTCATTGTCTGAGGAACAATAAGCAATGCTGAGATTCCCTGATAGTCTGGTGAGCGAGGTTTTGGGGCTCCTGATAAACCCCGAGCCCTGATGAAGATTAACTCTGCTGAGGAGTGCGAGGCCAGGCTATGGGGCTGGGGGCAATGGTGCCACCGTCCAGCCCCACTGAGGACCCTGCTCTCACCAAGCTTCTGCATCCCCAAAGCCCAGGAACCGCTTGCCGTGCTAAAAGCCTTCTGCTGTTGCCACCTTGCAGAGCTTTAGGAAGCCATCACCTATCCTGGCTTGGGGTTTTCCCATTCCTAGAATGGGATGGGTATTGCTATCCACAGGCCCTCAGGATTCGGTTGGATTTGGGTAAACTAAATAATTAACAGTGGGAAACCAGCACGTTGCTGTTGCTATCACCAGTGCTATAACTGAGCTCCCGGATGATGGTGGGGAGCTTCCATCCGAGCTCCCCATCCCCTGGGAACACTGCACATTCCAGCCCAGCCTACCCTAAGGCAGTGACTGGGCATTAGCCTCCTTCAAGCTTTCTTCCCCAGCTTTCTCCTCCCCAGCCCTGTTGCTGGCCCCATTTCCCTGCTTTTGGGCTCTGTCTGTTCCAGCAGGACCCTGTTCTGCACAACCTCCCCTGGCAGCACAGCCGGGATCCCAACAGCCGGAGGGAACACATAGGGATGGTTCTGGCTGTGTGCACCAGGACATGAAGGCTTCCTCCTGCAGCAGACAGGGGGCTTTGGGGTCCAGGGTGCTGCCAAAGCCCAACAAGACCATTCTCTCCACTGCTGGAAGCAGCTTCCATGCAAAGAGGTTTATTCATGGCAGCCCAAGAGAGGAGCCAGGATGGGGATCACTGGAGAAGGGCCTGGCCATGGAGCCCATCCTTGTTAAAGGCTTCTTGTTTTGGAGCTACAGCCATGACATAAAAGTCTGTTTATGGGACCTGGCTATTGTGCAGCCCCCCCATGAGCTATTTTACTGCTTTCCCATGTTTCCAGACACGGAGTCCGGCTCCCATAGCCTTAACCCTGCATTCCAGCCAACCAGCAATCAGGGGGTCCTAACCCCCATGGCTTTCTTTGGGATGGGGTTGTGAAAGTAACATGGAAATCTTGCCCTGGCATTCGGGTATCTTCGTTGTTGTCATCTTACTTGTGCCATTTTCTAAGCCCACCCCAGTCTTGTGTCTTTGGGAGCAGAAGCAATGAAGCCTCTTGGTTCTCCTCTGCTCTAAGTCCCATTGATATCATTACATTGCACTTTAAAGAGGAAGAATCACTGCACCTCTAAACCATACCGGTGCTGCTGCCATCGCAGAGCACATCCCAGCCTCCTCCCGCAGCTCCTGCTGCACTTTTGCCCCGGAGCTTTGCAAACACATCCTGTAAATCACCAGCAATGCCCAACCCCAAAACAGACCCGGGCACGCTGCACACCCCGACAGGGATAACTCAGGGGCAGGGATTCAGCCCCATCCACAGGGATGCAGCGGCATGATCGGGAGCCTGGCAGGGGGGTGGAAACGGCAAAGTGTGGCTTTAGGGGTGAAGCATGCACCCATTGACACCGTGGGAGCAGCCGGGTTGGTGACGGCACCTTCTCACCCTCCCAAAGCCAGCTCTGATTTTTGGGCTGCCACTCAAATTGTCCCTAAAGTGTTAATCTCGCTGCGTTACAGAGGTGCATAGTTTATATCCATTATAAACCTGTTTATGGGGACTGGACCCTCCCATTGTGCTGCTGTAATAAAGCCCTAATTACCCCCCATAAAACAGGGAAAAGCTCCTAACAGCGCCCTGTACCCACTGAGCCCCACAGTGCACCCAACAGTAAAACATTACAACCGCTGGCACCGGGTCCGCAATCAGAACCAGCACCTACCCCGGGGCAGCAACGTGTAGGATCCAGGTAGAAACCAAAGCACCTTTGGACCGAGGGTTTATGGATGGGCTCTTCTTTAAGGAAAGGTTAAAACCCTTAAAGTGGGTTTAGGAAGGATCTCAGGGGTGGTGCTGAGTTATCTTTATGTCTGTTATCTCCATGCATAGAGATATCCAAGAATATACAAGTAATGTGAGTATACAGGTGTTGAAGTAATAGAAGTATTGAAGTAATATATATGTATGTGCTTTTTATCTCCATCTACAGAGATATGTAAAAATATATAAGTAAAGTACATTTGTATATATATGGGGTTTATCTCCATCTATAGGGATATCTAAAAATACATAAGTAATGTACATTCATATATAGAAATGTTTTATCTCCCTCTATAGGTATCTAAATATATATAAGTAATGTACATTTATATATATGGGTTTTATCTCCATCTACAGAGATAGCTAAAAATATGTAAGCAAGGTACATTCATATATATGTTTGCTCTCCATCTATAGGGATAGCTAAAAATATAGAAGTACTGTACATTCATATATATTAATACATATATAAGTGCGTACTCTGATACTGCTCTACTACTCTGATATTTGCAGAGCAGGTACGGATGGATGGATGGATGCATGGATGCATGGATGCATGCATGGATGCATGGACACCCCAACCACTGGGCTGGGCTGGAGGTGATGCTGTGACCCCTGGCCATGGGGACAGGGCTCTGTGGGGTCCGTCGGGCGCCGCCGTCCCTTTGTATGCAGGGGGAGGCGGGGGGCTGAGGCGGTGCCTCCCCTAATCTCATCAATGCACTGATTGTCCTCAGGGCTCTTGAAGATAAAGATGGCATAAGCCAGAGTCTACGGCCTGGCACCAAGATAAAGCCCCGAGTGACCTTCACATCAAACAGGGAACCAAGATCGCTGATAATAGCCCACAGCGAGGGAAAAGTCCAGAGTCTGAGAGAAGCCTCCGAGATAGATCGGCTTTAAGTATTTACCTCCAAACAGTTAAAAACTCCAGCTTGAGGCTTGACAGATGGGTCCCCAAGACGAGGCCGGGAGGATGTTTGACTTTTACAGCCCTTATCCCTGCCCGGCTGTCATTACACCCTTTTGCAAGACCCCATTGATGTCCTGAGGAGCAGCCGAGCCCCCTTTGTCTGCGGGCACGGGAGCGATTGTGCAGCTGCCCCATGCCACCAGCGCCATCGTTTCCTGCTGGGGGATGTCCTGGGGGGGACGGGGCTGTGCAGGGCAGGACTGGGGCAGCATCCCTGCGCCGTCATTAAGCTGTTAAGGCATTGAGAGCCCCAGACGCCGCCGCAGCGGTGCAAGGGCAGTTCAAATCCCAGCATGGCCAGGCGGGGATGGGGTCAGCCAGGCAGCACTGCCCCACATCCCATCGAGGCGTCGCATCTTAAACAGGGTTTTGGGAGCTGCAAGCCAGCTGGATCCAGCTTGGTCCAGGTGAGCCTGAATCAATCACGGATGGAGCTGAGCTCCATCCCAAACCAGTGCTAAAACCCCACCTCGCCGCGCCCATCTCCTCCTCCTCGGCAAGGCTGATGGATACGAGCACCATCCACTGAGAAATTCCTGCAGCCAAGCCCTCCTGACCCCTCCAGAGGGGCCCTTCATGAACCATCACCGCAACCATCACTCCTGCCTACTCAAAAGCCCCTCCGAATGGGCTGTCATCGGCCCTATAGCCGGGACCGGCTCCTGCTGGCACTGCTCCGACGGGAAAATAAAGGTCGGGGCTTAAGGGCCCTCCAGCCCCAAGATAAATGCCCGTGGTTACAGTAATTGCCATCCCCTAATAGAAGCAAACAAAGGCTCTCGGGGGTGCTGCATGCGCGCTGGCAGGCCGGGGGCACATCAAAGGCCCTGGGGTTCGTTCAAAGCCCGGTTTAATTGTCAATTAAGCATGCACAGGGAGGAGCCATGACAATGTGGGGCTGCATGCTGGTGGGGCATTGTGGAGCCCCGCCGGCCGACACTGAAAACAGCTGATTCTGCTGACAATGTGCTTGTAGGGCACCTTGTAAGCAATCAGGAGGGCAAACGTCCTCCCTGTCCCCACCATTGGGAGGGGCATTCCTAGGGCAGGGTCACATCGTGGTCACCGCGGGCCGGCCCTAAGGGAGAGTGGTACCCGGGAGTGGGATGGATGCTGCCTGTCTCCCTGCGGGAGATTGGCTGGATGCTGCTGCATCCCCCCACCCCGGGTACCACTTTTGGGTTGTCCTCACTTGTTAACACCCAGGGCCTGGTGTCCATGGCCTGGCACCGTCCCCAGCTCAGCCTCCTCTCCATGAGCACCTTGCCCTTCCCGCAGGGACTCTCCATGCATGGGTTTCGTTTAATTTGCCTTTGTAACCCTAACGAGCCAGGCAGGGTCATTCCCAAGCGGTTTAACCTCCCTGGCCATGCTGTGCCAAGGGGTGATTGAGACGCAGCCCCTCTGCTGATCCCCATCACTGAGTGCCTGCTCCTGCACACCAGGACGCGGTGCATCGGCTGCGGAGGGCAGGAGGGGACAATGGGGATTGTTCTCCCAACAATGCCTCTCTCCTCCCCGGCACTGTTATCTCCTGCTTAAATCCCCCCGGAGCTTTCGGCAGGGCTGCTCTCCCAGCCGCCTCCTCACTGAGCACAACGGGGCTGGGTTGTGATGGGGAGAGGTGGAGGTTGAGCCCTGCACCCCTGAGCAGCTTCCTTCATCCACCTCCCTGTGCTCTGGCATGGGGATGGTGCAGCACCACGCACCCAGCCTGGGCTAGCTCCAGCCCAGGACACACTGCTCCATCTTATGGGCTTTGCGGCATTGCCTGTGCATCTCCACCCTCAAAATCAGTGAGCAGTGATGCATCAGGCACAGAGCAGCCCATCTCCCTGCCCCAATGAGCCCACACAGGCACGCCAGCGAATTAAACCAACCAAGCAAATACCAATTAATCCTAGACAGGATGGAAATCCAGCCCCAAAACACGGGGCTGTAACACTGCAGTGACACCACTCGCTCCTCTCCGCACCAACATCACTTGAGGCTGCACCAGGGACCAGGGTACCCATCTTCAAGACTACCCATGCACGTCCTAAGGGCTCAGCACCCCTATTCCCAGCAGAAACAGGACCCAGCACTGCATTTGCTGCCACACCACCACCCGAGCATCCTTGCTGGGGTCTTACCTGTCATTTTGCTGGGCGGCGAGGCGCTGGGCTGGTTGTGGTGCGGGGAGCCGTGGGACAGCAGCAGGTTCATGCTGTGCGGGGCGGGCTGGCCCGAGCTGTAGGCATCCATGGCCAGCTTCTGTCGGAAAGCCTCCTCCTTCCGCCGGTTGGCAAACCAGTTGTAGACCCGCACCTCTGTCACCAGGTTGGAGCCGAGCCCGTGCGCCTTGGAGGGGGACACCCCCCGCTGCAGACATTCAGCCCTGCGCACGCAAGGGGACACGTTGGAACAAGGGTGCTGATGGGGGGGGGCTCCCACAGCATCCACAGGCAGATTTGAGGGGGAGTTAAACCCTTCCTATGAGCCTGTCTGCTCTTTCCAACTCTATTTCCAGCTATATCCATGCTGTAAAAGCCATCCCCCCTCCTTCTGGTGTTGCTGTGATGTTTCAGCATCCCTGCAGCATCCCTCGGGCATCCCTGCAGCATCCCTCCAGCATCCTCCTGGCATCTCTGCAGCATCCCCAGGGCATCAGCCAGCATCTCTAGGGCATCTGTGCTGCATCCCTGCAACATCCCTACCCCTACATGGAGCTCACCAAGCCCTGAACATCACCCCTATGGGGAAAACGAGGCAGAAAGAAGCCAGGAAGCTCAGCAAAGCCGTGCCATGAGCCAGCGGCCGGCAGCCTGGAATCGCATGGAGTTCTTGGGAGAAAGGCTGCGGCATGGGCAGCGTGGGGCATCCTTTACCTGTTGCACTCCTCCACCAGCGCCTCGCGCTCCTCCTTGCTGGGGTTCTTTTGGCGGTCATAGGCTTGGTACAAGATTTGCTGGGAGGCCGGCCCCCACTTGAACCGGTTGCGGCGCATCTTCTTACTGGGCGTTTCGGAGCAGGCGTCGTCGAGCTGGGCAGCCCCCTGGTTCTGCTGATTGAACTCTGGAAAGAGAAACAGCAGCTGATCCTGACTGCTTTTGTCTGTCCTATTTCCACAACCCTGGACTGCCTGGTTGAACTCTGAAAGAGAAAGGAGCAGACGTGAGCTGGCCTGTAGCCGCCGCAGTGGTGCGTGTGTCCCCATATCCCCTCCTGCAGCACCCCAAAACCCACGGCCTCAGCACGTCCTGGTGCTCCCGACACCCACCCCAAGGAAAGGACCTGCTCAGGGCGGTCATTGCCACCCCTGAGGGATGCTGTGCGATGGGGAGGCACGTGCACACATGCATATTCATGAGCAGGGTACCCACTGGGGGTGAATGGGTTTGGGGGGGATTTGTGTGAGCAAGGGGCCAAGCAGGGTGTCTGCAAAGCCCCCCCGGGATGGTGCCTTGCTCTGCTTGCACAGAGCCCCCATCCAGCTCCCGCTCCCATCCCAATGCACTGGGACACCAGCCCCATGCCCGGGGCAGCAGCGCTAGAGGTGACCTTCCCCAGCCGCCCGCCCTGGGCCCGGCGCTTGTCACCGTGGCCGTAAAGGGAGATTAATGGGAGGGTTTTATTATTCCCAGTTTTGCAGGGGAATTCTCCCTCTTTTTTAATGGCTTTCCCCCCCGTGACAAGGGGGAAGCGCAGGGCAAGGCTGGAGCAGGCTCTGTTTGCTCTAATGCTTCAAGGTGTGCTTTCAAAGCAACGGTGCTAAACCCTCCTCTGCGCTTCCCATCCGATGGAGACCGCATCCTTTCGGAGGAGGGAGGCAGTGTCAGTGCCCTGAACTGGAGCCCAGTCAAAAGCAGGGCTGCTTTGGCCCATACAAGGGAGGTGCACAACAGCCTGTGCACTTGCTCTTAGTTTAGATAGCACAGAGAGCCCCAGCACTGCTACAAATAGGAGCCATTCACAGGCTTTTCCTCTTTTCTCTCTCTTTACTTATTTTGCAGGTAGTTGCAGAAAATGAGGAGCCTCATGGAATGGAAGGGAGAAGTGGGAAAGGCATCAAATGTGTGTAATCACCCATTGCCATCCCGGCTCAAACAAATACACAGAAACCCAAACTGTGTTACTGTGATCAGGAGGGGCTCAAAAGAGCAGTTTTCCTCTGCCTTAAATTCATTCTACTTGTAAAGCCCTATTGGGAAGGATGCTGTGCAGCCTGGGTCAGGCTTGGAAGCAGGCAAGGACCCGCTCCTTGTGCATGGATGCACCCGTAGGTAGGACCAGGATGCAGGACCCCGTTATCCCCGGATGGCGAGCGCTGGCGCGGGTACTTACGCCGGAGGATCTCCCGCTGCTTGCGGACGTACCACGTGTAGAGAGCGGCTCTCTTCTGCGTCTTCATGGGGGTGCCCTTGTTGAGGTGCTGGGAGAGGTGGGACTGGTTGAGGCCGGTGACGTCCACCACCTCCCGCTGCGGGATGTTGTGCTGCTGCATGTACCCCTTGATCATCTTCGCCGCCCGCCACGGGTCCTCGCTGCGGGGAGGGGAAACAAGGGTTAACCCATCCTGAGGGGGGGAAAGCTCCCGGTGTTGCCCTCTTCCCATGATGGAAACACAGTATTATCATTATTATTATCATTATTGTTATTGCTAGTATTATTAACATCATTATTATTATTCCTAAACCTGTTTCAGAAGGGCACAAGACCCCTGGGGCATTTGTCTTTCCCCAGAGCCCCCAAACCAGCCCCATCCTGCCCCAAGAAGCCAGGAGCTGGTGGGACAGGGGATCACGGGGTGCCAAGGCCACCCCAGGGTGCTCACCCAAGGAGGGAGAATAAAGGGGATCCCTGTGGATCATCAAGGTCACATTAACACCCAGATCCTTCAAGGAGAAACGCAGCCCATCCGATAATCTCACTGCAATTCCTCCCTTTGAAGATGCGCACACACGAATACAGGTATGGATTTGGGACACCCACACTGGGAATCTCTCTGAAGAAATAGAAATCTCCCATGTGGAGCTCCTGGGATGGTTTTCCTGCCCCATGCCCTTGGGCTTGCTCCCTGCTACCGAGGACCCCGCACGGCCACCAAACACCACTCACTGTGATGCTGCTTCATCCCCCCCTCCGTTCCCACAGGGATAAATACCTACAACTCACTAGTCACTGAAAAGAGACCCTAATCCCATGCTCCCACAACAGCGCACAGGGGCCATAAGCAAGAGGCGCAGAAGTGAAGGTCAAAGCGGGCACACAAACCCAAGCAAGCCCCACAATGGAAAACCAAACCCAAACCCCTCAATAATGGTCGGTCATTCTTGACTATTTTTAAACACTCGAATTCCATTCCTGCAGGATTCAGGTGGAAAATGGCTCTTTCCTAAACCCACGTTACTTTGGTGTCCTTGGAGGGGCTGCCCCTAACCGGGAATTAAGGAACAAACACAACTACAGCCACAAATCAAACACCATCTGCCTTCCTCGGCCCTCATGAACGCACAAGGCGATGGCAGAGGAACAGAGCAGCACCTCCTCTGTACCCCAGAGCCCCGGGTTCATTCTGCACTAGAAGGAAGTGCTTTAACACCGACATACCCAGTGCGGAGCCGGAGCCGAGCCCGGTCACAGTCCTGCACTCAAATAATGCTGCGCTTGGAGCAGCCGCCCGGCTGCTTTCCCAGCTCATTCCTTGGTCTGGATCCTTCGACTTGTCAAGGAGGAGAAAAACAACCCAAGAAACGGATTCCTTCCTGTTTGTCCCGAACGCAGCGCGAAAACAAAGCTGGTTGGATCCAAAGCAAAAGCACCCGGCCGTGGCCAACGCGCTGATGGTGGCAGAGGCTTTGTCCCATGGACAGCACGGAGCCTTCCTAGGGACAGCATCCCTGTGCCCAGGCCTGCATCCTCCGGGCAGGAGGACCCCACCGAGTACATGGTGATGGTCACACGGACCTGGATGTGGACACAGGCACACACTGACTCCAGTTCTCCCAATAGCCAGGACCCTGGGCTGGGATGAGCACGGTGCAAACAGCAAAGCCTGTTCCTGTCCCGATCCCATTGAGGTCTGGGGGGCTCTCGGGTCCTTGTGCTGCCCCAGGAGAAGGTGGGAGCCAACAAGAAGGGAGCAAAGAACAGGTCCTTGTCCCGCAGGCTCCTTCCCAATGGAGCCAGGCAGAGCCCTGGGGCTCACAGGGAGTTTTGCCACGAGCCCTGCATGTCACCCAAGTGATCCTCCTAATTACTGATTAATAATAAGCTAATGGAACCGAGCTCATTATCATTTCTAATAGCTGTTTGGTTCACAAATAAACCAAGGGCATCGCTTGCCCAGAGTTAAGGGTGAGCCAGCGCCAGCGTTCACAATTCGGGCTGCTTTCGGAACAACGGGATTTCTGAATTTCCATGGAATTTGGCAGCATTTTGGCTGGAAAAAATAGGTGAGAATTAGGGAAAAAAAATCCCAGCGTTTCCCTCCATTTTGTTATTTTCGGGAAGGTTTCAGCCTCTTTCACGCTTCCACTTTCAAAACAATTCCTTGGCCCTTCCTTTCTGAGCAGGGATTTCTCTTTCCAGATCAACTTGACCGCATTCAAAAGGGTTAAAGAACCTGAAACCAAACCCAAACATTTTGTTTCATGTTAAACAAAATGTTTGGACTTGACCCAAAATGAAATGTTTCAGTGTTTGTTTCACCTTCTCCCCCCCCTTCTTTTCAGGTTAACCTAGAAAACAAGAGAGGAAAAAGCTTTCGCCTCAACGCAAGCCCTTTTCCTTTTTGTTCTGTCACCAAAACGAAACAAAACCACATTAATTGCCCGATCTTCTTTACGTGCAAAAGAACCCCCCCCAAGCCAGGAGTGCTTTGTAACACCGGAACACCAGCTCATGGCCCTCACCGCAAGGTTCTTCACCGCCAAAACCAAGGAAAAGGGGGGTTTTGGTGCACAAAATTAACCTCAACAAAGAAAAGGGCATTTCCCATCCCAGCCCCATAGGAAGCCTCTTGTCCCTCTCCCCCAGACCCGCTCACCCCCTTTGTCAGCCTTGCAAACAGGTAAAAACACCCCATATCCTTTGGGACAAATATGCCAAGAATTTACAGAGATGGATCATAAACCCGGCTCCCTCAGAAATCACCTCCCGGATCCCATCGCCCCTGCGCATGGGGAGCCAGCACGGGGCCATGTGCTGCACCCACCCCTCCCTGTGCATACTGGGGTGGCTTTGGGGCACCCCCAGCCGGCTCCCCAAGGGTGTGAGGCTTTCCCTTGGAGCCCAGGCCCATGGGATCTGTGAGCTCCGGAAGGTGGGATTGGGCAGGGATATGGAGCCATGAAGCGTCTCGCCCCAGCGCTGGGCTCCCGGTGCCGCCGGTACCCCCATGAGGAAGCCCAGTGCCAGTGTGGGGCACTCGCCCTCTGCCACCCTGATGTGGTTTAAGCCCAGCCGGTAGCTCAGAAGCATCCCTTGAAGCCATGGAGGGGTCCGAGGGAATGCACTGCTTGCTGAGGGGCTGTGGCTGGGGTGAACCCCTTGGGACCACTGCAGTGGGATGGGCAGCTCCAGCCCATGCCATGGTGGGCAGTGAAGCCCGCACCACATTCCCAAAGGAGCTGCGGGTTGAGCACCCGGGGATGTGGGAATAGCCCGAGATGGAACCAGCCCTGGGGAGCGGGAGCAGAGGGGGTTTATTCCCCATGCGTAGCTGCAATAAATGGATCCCGACTCCCCTATCCTGCTCCCTCTCCAAGTACAAAGGCCTCTCTTAGAGCAAACACGAGCTCTTTGCAAAGGCTCCTCAGGGACATGTGCCTGCTCTTGTTTGCACCAAAGGCAAACTTTGCACACAACACCTGTGGGAGCACAGGGACCCCGGGGCTGAGCCCGCTCTGCACCCTACGGACACCCCGGGATGGATGCGGCCCGCAACAAGTGGGGGAGTGGGGCCAGGCAGCAGCACCCAGAGGTGCAGGGCACGGTGCTGCGCAGGACGGGTGGGATCCCAGTGGAACCGGCCTGCAGTGATTCCTCCCTCGCACGGAGCCCTTTGGCTGGAGCGGGCACCGCTGCCAAACCCTGCTCCCAAAAGGCAAGAGGGGCAAGAGCCGGGGCTGCCCCGAGCAATGTGGGCTGGGAACGGGTGCAGGAGGCACCGGGGGTGCCCCGGTACGGGTCTAGAACCCCACAGCAAGGAGAGGGGGGAGCCCCAAAGGTGCCGCCGCGGCGCTCAGGGGTGTCCCGCGGGGCTCCCGCCCACCTCCACCGGCCCCGGCTGCGCTTCGGGACGGAGCCGACGCCGTCCGCGCCCCGACGGGCCCGGGGCAGACGCTGCCCGCAGAGCCCGGGGCCGCTCCTCCGCGCCCCGACGGCGGCCCCGCTCCCGGCGGCTCGGCACGGCCGGGACCGGAGCGGAGCAGCATCGCCGGGACGGGCAGGAGCGCAGCCCGCGGGGGTTTCCTCCTTCCGCCCTCCCGGGCCGCTTTACAACCTCAGCAATGAATAACCCGCGGCTGCGCTCGCCCTCATCGCGGCCCTTTGTGTATCTTCTGTTGATGATTTATAGAAATAAATTAATAGCGCCGCGCTCCACGTGTCGCAGTTTATGTTTGCAGCTCCCGGCGCGGACAAACGGGGCCGGCGGCCGCTCCGAGCCTCCACGGCCGGGCTGGCAGCCCCCCGACGGGGAGGATGAGACTGGAGAGCCCCGGTCCCTCTCCGTGCCCGCTCCCCTCCACTCACAGCCCCGCCGGGCCACGGCGCACCGGGACCCGTCCCCGGGCAGGGCGCCTGCAACCTGCTGGGTCTGTGGGACCGAGCGGCTGCGAACGGAGCTTGAGCGCGCCCCGTCCCGCTCCCCGTCGGTACCTGATCATCCTGTCCACCTCTGCCCGCTGCTCCACGGCCTCCTCGGTGTTGAGCGCCTGCAGCTCCCGCAGGATCTGCGGCGTGTCGAAGTCGTCGCCGTCCTCCGAGCCCTCATCGCCGGAGAGCTTGCCCTTGCCGTGCCCGTTGGCCAGCGGCACGAAGGCGGCCTTGCCGTCGGGCGGCCCGCCGGGGGACAGCGGCAGGCTCTCCAGCTTGACGCCGAAGCCGGCGGCGGGGACCATGTCCTCCAGGGCGCGGATCAAGCCCTCCTTGGTGGCTCCGGAGCTGAGCAGGGCTCCCAGCAGCTCCCGTTGCAGGGCGCTCAGCTGGGACACCATCCTCCCGGGCGCCCGCGGCGCGCCCCGCCGCTCGCCTCCCGCCTCCCTCCGCCGCTGCCGCTCCGCTCCGCTCCGCCCCGGCCGGCCGGGCTGCTGCGGGGCGCGGGCCGCCCTCTACCAAGCCATGACGGCCACCATTAGGCAATATACCTTATGCAAATCAGCGCCGGGAGGCCTCTCCTCCGGTCGCCGCCCGGGCCCCGCGCCCCCGCCCCGGCCCGGCCCTTATCGCCCGCGCTGGGGCGGACTTTGCCCGCGGCCGACGGGAGGCCCCGGAGGAGCGGCGGGGGCACAACGGGACGGGACCGGGGACCCCAGCGCTGCCGTCGGGGGGGGTGGGAGGGGGCTCGGTGAGCACCTACCGGACCGCAGCGCAGGGATGGGGATGGGGATGGGGATGGGCAAAGCCCGTCCTGCACCGCTCCAGCGCTCAAGCCCCTGCACTGAAACGGGACCAAGCTGAGAAACCCCGACCGAGGCCTCGCAGGGGGGTTCCAACCCCGGCACCCCCCCTTAAGCAGGGTCCTGCTGGCCAAGCAGGCACAGAGCGGGTACAGGCCCCAGGAGACCCCCGGTGGGGGTCTTGGCACCCACTGCAGGGCAGTCTGGGGCCAGGCTCAGCACAGGTTCACCAGGAGCAGGATGTGCACAGCAGTGACCCTCAGCAAGCCAGGCACAGGGGTGCGCAGGGGACAGAGTCCCCGTTGAACCTTGGCAGCCATCAGGGGCGGGAGCAAGGAGCAGGTCTGGAGGTGCTCAGAAGTGATCCCAGCCAGGCCCTGGGATCTGAACCGAGTCCCAAAGATCAACACCTGCACCTCCATCAGAGCAGGGACGGACACAGGAGCCACCAGCACAAACAGAGCACACAGAGGGACCTGCAGGGGAAGGCAGGGCCAGTGCCCGAAACCTCTGGTCATGACCCCTCCCAAAGCACTTTCGGTTTGTAGCCCAGTTCCCTGCTGCTTTTGGCTGGTACCTGCCCATTCTCTTTCACCCCAGCACTTCCAGCCCGGGTTCAGACCTTCACAGGGTGCCTACAGCTGAACACACGCTGCAGTGGGATGCAAGCCAGTGAGGAGCAGCCCAGGGCAGCGATGGGAGCGCTGTCAAAGCCCCCTTCCCTTTGGGAGACAGAGCCACAGCCGATGGGAGGGCTGCGGGTCAAGGGCATCCCAAAGGGAGTGGGTTTGTGGATGAGCAGGTGATGGCTGTGCAGGGTTTGATGGGCACACACAGACTGAGCACAACATGAGGAAGAGAGGACCAAAAACCCCCTGAAAACTGCCTGGACGAGCATCATCCCCAGCTCTGCTCCCACATGCCCAGGGCTGCATTACCAGGGAGGTGCTCTCCTCCTTCATACAACAACAGGTCTCTGATCACCCCAAAGAGACCCCAAACCTCAGGACAGGGGCCATGCAGAGCCACCACCACCCCTGAGCACCAACCCACTGCGATCAGGACTTGGGGCTGCACCCTCTGTGCCCCCCCTCACCACTGCCCCATTCATGGCACTGAGTGCCCAGACCCCCCCATCACAGTCTGTGCCTGCCCTCGGGTACCCCCCACCCCGCCTCCAGCCTGGGAACAGCCTGGCTCTTGCTCCGGGAAGGTCCCGTCTCCCTTTCAAGTGGTCTGGTGAGCTTTGACTTGGTCTTTGCACAGGCTTCATGGCATCGCATGGTAATGATGTTCTGTCACGGTGGGTGACCCGGACCTTGCCCTGTTTCCACACATTCGGAGCCACCTGGCTAATGAAGTGGGTATCGTTTTCTGGTCCATCTCCCTCACCCCACTGCTCTTCCCCCTTCCTCCACACCCAGCTCCTCGCAGCGGTGTCAGAGCCCTGCTGGGACCGGCCCTTTCCCATCGCTGGCGGGCACAGCTCATTAACCCCATGGGGCTGGAAGCACGCAGGTTCCCAGCCAGGGGAAGGCATCAGCAGGAGGGGACGGTGCTGGGAACGCAGGCGAGGGTCTGGGGAGCTGAACACGCTCTGCTCTGTCCCATAGGGTTCCAAACCCAGTCTGCAGCCAGCCCGCGGGCCCATGAGGGTTTGGGTGCCTGGTGCTGGTCACCAGCTCCCATGGTTGGAGGCGGCCTCGCCTCCCGCTCCCCATCGCTCGCAGCACCAGAGAGGCTCAGTGGTACCAAATGGAACCATTAATGGTGGAAGATCACCCAGTCCCATCCCTGTGCCAAAGCAGAGCCACCTAAAACAGAACACATCCAGGTGGGTTTCAACATCTCCAGAGAGAACCCATCCCCTTCCAAGCACCACAGAGAATAACCATCCCAATGCAACTGCTGCGGCCCAGCAACTCCTCCCTGCAGCCACAGCCGCCTCCATCACCCACGGAGGGTCCAGCATCACTCGCCCCACACACGGGCAGCAGAACCCACACTGGGACAATGGGGAAGGGGAAGCCTGGTGCCCATGGCATCGCCGCGGGCCTCGATCCACGCCAGGGGATTTCTGCCCTTGTGCCTCATTCCTTCCCCGGAGCCCCATTTCCCGCCTGAGCGCGCGCAGCCGTCACCGCCCCTGACCCCGCGGGCAGTGGGCAAGAGCGTTCCCACCGAGGCCGGGCCATTAAACCCCTCGCTGGCATTCCCGCGGCCCCCGCTCCCTCGCCGGGCGGTTTTCGCATTCCCGGCTGCCCGCGCCTCCCCCGCCGGCGCTGACGTCATGGTTGGAAGCCTGCTCCCATCCCCACCTTTATTAAATATGACCCCGGGATGATCCCGCGCGGGCCGAAGGGAAGCTGCGGTTGCGGCAGGGATCAGACAGCAGAGGCAGAGCTGCCCGCCCCGCGCTCAGACCCTTTGCGCCCCGGGACCCCCAGCCTGCAGGGACAACGGCACCGATCCCATCCTCACTCTGGTTCGGGATGGAGCTGTGGGTCTCACCCTGCAGAGCTTTCAGGATGGGGGCTCTGTTGCAGGGGATTCATGCCCAATGTTCTCATCCCCCTGGGCATCCACCCAGCGCAGAGACCCCATCGGCACCAAAACCCCGTCACCAGCCATGCTGCACGACCTGCTCTGGGAAGGGATGCGCCCCAGCGCTCACAGACCGAGGCAGGGATGCAGAAATGAGTCCTCCTCCACCACAGGCCCCTGCCTCGGAGCACAGCCTCAGCCTGGACTGCACTGGGGGGGAAAGATGCTCCCAGGCTGCTCAGCACCAAGCTCTTCCCTGTGAGGGTGCCCAGAGAAGCTGTGGCTGCCCCATCCCTGGCAGTGCTCAAGGCCAGGTTGGACACAGGGGCTTGGAGCAAGCTGCTCCAGTGGAAGGGGTCCCTGCCCATGGCAGGGGTTGGGGCTGGAGGAGCTTTAAGGTCCCTTCAACCCAAACCAGGCTGGGATTCCATGGATTCCCCCCTGCCTGGGTTCCACCATGGCCTTGCCTCACCCATCACAAGCACTGAGCAAGGCTTCTCCCAACCCTTCAGCACTGGAAGGGGCACAACAGGGACCCCCCGTGCCCACAGTGCCCCTCCAACCACAGCACCCACACTGGGACCCCATCACCGCGGTGCCAGCCCCCAGCGCCAGGCGGGTCCTGGGCAGCAGCAGGCAGAGGGCGAGGAGGCAGGAGCCGGGGATGGTACCGGGGCACAGGAGCCACCGGTGGCAATGGGACAGGGCCGGGCGGGCAGGAGGAGGACAGCGGCGGTGGGGCTCTCCTGACACGGCCATAATGAATGCTTCTCCCTTACCCTCTGCAAACAGCTCGGGACTCTTTGTCTGCTGATAAATGGCCCCTTTGAAGTTCTCCCTTCTCGAAAGCAAAGCAAAGAAACACTTTCATGCCCGTCTTCACCCCCCCGGGCCTTCACCCTGATGATGTTGTTTGGGGATGAGGGGGGGAACAGGGGTGCTGTGGCCCCTCAACCACAGGCAGGGCTGCTCAGTTCCCCTTGGCTCTGCGGGGCTCAGCACCACCATGGCCATGGCCCGGTGACCTTTGGCCACCGCATCCCTACCATCAACGCGCTCCCAGCCCCACTGGGACCCCTAAAACCCAGACCCCTCAATATAAGAGCCTGGGGGGGGGGGGGGGGGTGTCCCATTGACCACCCCAAGTCTAGCTCTGAGGCTGCAGCTGGGTGGGCACAGGGGGTGGTTGGCGGTATTGGGGTGCAGACGTGACCCGGCACCCCCCAGGAGCCGCAAGGCCCCGGGTTCTGCTTGGCTGCCGCAGCCAAACAAGTTCTGCCGGGCTATAAACGGCGCTGGACGCGGGGCAGGCCGGGAGCGCCGCCGTCCATGGCAGAGCTCCCGCAGGTTGTCACCGGTTACGTGTCAGGACAAACAATGCTATCGGCCCGGGATCGCGGCACACGGGACACCGCAGCAGCGCCGCAGCCCCGGACACCGGCATGGGGCAGAGCCAACGGCAGCAGGGGCCGTGCCATGCGCGGCTGCGGGATGGAGCCCGGACCGGTACCATCCCATGGTACCATCCCATGGCACCATCCCATGGTACCGGCGGGGCACAGCCGCTCCCAGTGCACCCAGACACTGGGCTGATGCCATTCGGCTCCTCCGGCCTCTGATTAATTCCGAGACAAAGGGGAGGGAAGCGAGCTGGAACCGGCACAGGGCTGGGGCTGTGTGCTGGGAAAACAAAAGCAGGGGGTGGTGGCTGCAGCCCAGGACACACAAGGGGATGGGGGGATCCCCGTTATGGGGGTTCTGTCCTTGGGACGGCTTCAGTGCGAGCCCTGGCTGCACTACAGGGAGCCCCCAGCCTGGGTACCCCACGTCTTGGCCACCGTCCCCATGGCTATGGGTGCCCATCACTCCCCCTTCATGCTGTGCGCTGGGCAGAGGTCACCTCTGCCATTTTGCCATAATGGAAGAAGACCAAACCCCAACTCCCCATAGGCAAAGCAACCGGGTGCGAGAGGAAGAGGGGTTTGGAGGCCACAAATGCTGTTGCAGGTTGCAAACAGCCTCACAACCACAGCAAGGTGCCCCCATAGGCACGGCGACCCCAACCCCTGCTGCCGGTGGGACCCCCCAATCCCCAATGCATTTCTCCACTGGGTGCCCTCCATGGGAGGGTCCGGCCCCTACTGGGGAGTGGGGGGAGCCGGGAGGGCAGAACCCAGGCAGCAAAT